CAGTAATTTCTGATACTCACCTCACATGATTGGCAACAGAAACACCAGCATGACTTTATCCTGCAGAACTACCAAAGGCTTTGGTTGAAAAATACACATTTTATGCACGAAAAATGCATCTGGTCACATCTGCACACAACCTTTTCATAAGAACATGGTATAGAAGAAAATCAATTAAATCCAAAGCTCTTCTCAGATCGAAATGACAGAAAATACTTCTAAACACCCCCAAAATACACACATTTTTGGATTTATTAAATTTATTGTATATAAAATTTCATTTCAATCTCAGTCGACAGCGTTGATCATTTCACAGGTGAATTTAATGAAAACCGCAGGAAAATTATTTACCTCAAATTGCAAGAAATGATATTCTGCACAAAGAAAATGAAGCTGCTTGTTTTATAACAATCAATTTGTCATTATTGTGATGCACCTTGATATTCTCTTTTGAGTCTAGAGTCAGTACAACCAATGCAACTATGATCTGTCATCAGAGCAAAACATAATTGATTTTGCATCAGAATAACGAGATTTGGGGTGAATGTCAAAGTGCAAACAAAAAATAAATTTTCTTCATGCATTCTGCATTTTTATTTTTGCAGTTATCATTTGTTTTATATTACTGTAAATAATAGATTTATTTTATAAAACTAATGCAACTATGATATGCAAATAATGCTTGCTATATATTTGATTTTGGATCAAAACAATGAGAATTGGGTTGAATTTACATGAAAATAATGCAGTGCACTAATGCAAACCTAATTTTCTTTATGCATTAATATTTTTTAGCTTGTATTATTTTCTTTAGATTACTGTAAATAATATATTAAAAAAAAATTAAAATCAACAAATTAAAGTCAGCACAACCAATGCAACTGCAATCTGTAAATACTACAAAATCTAATTGATTTTGAATTAAAAAGAATATATTTAGGGTGAAAATGTTCTTACTTGACATTAAAATACTGACTCAGGGCAAACATAAAACAATTTTCTTCATGCATTTTTTTTTTTGCGGCTCTCATTATTCTCTTTAAAGCACTGTAATAGATTTTACATTTTCAATTAAAACCAACAAATTAAAGGCAGCACAACCAATGTAATTATGATGTAAACCCAGCAAAATATAATTGATTTTGCATTAAAATAAAAAGAACTGGGGTGAAGTGACATGAAAATATTGCCACGGTGCAAACAAAAAACGTTATTTTCTCCGTGCATTCTTAATCCATTAAAATAATGGATTTTATTTCAGTTACCAAATGAAAGGCAATACAACTACATTCTGTAAATCTGTAAATAGGGTTAGGAATAATGATAGCGGGGTAAATTGATATGATAATAATGCCACAGTGCAAACAAAAAAAGTCAGTTTTCTTCATGCATTCTTCATTTTTCTTCTACTGTAAATCATATTTTTAAAAAAAATTTATCAACAAATTAAAAGCAGTACAGCCGATGCTATACATACCGAAAAAATTGCATTAAAGTAAAGGTTCTTAAATAATGTCACAGTGCAAAAAAACTTATTTTTCTTCATGCAAAATATAATTTCTTTCTTTTTTAGCTTGTGATCTGACCTACACGTGTTCTTGATACTAGCGCTTGTATAAATAGCAACATGAGAACGCTATTATATGTGTCCCTGCAGCACAAAAGCAGTCTTAAGTCGCTGGGGTATATTTGTAGCAATAGCCAACAATACATTGTATGGGTCAAAATTATCCATTTTTCTTTTATGCCAAAAATAATTAGGATATTAAGTAAAGATCATGTTCCATGAAGATATTTTGTAAATTTCCTACCGTAAATATATAAAAACTTAATTTTTGATTAGTAATATGCATTGCTAAGAACTTAATTTGGACAACTTTAAAGATGATTTTCTCAATATTTAGATTTTTTTGCACCCTCAGATTCCAGATTTTCAAATAGTTGTATCTCAGCCAAATATTGTCCTATCCTAACAAACCACACATCAATGGAAAACTTATTTTTTATAAATAAAAAATAGTTCCGGTGCTTGATTCTGATTGGCTGAGCCGCGTTCGAAGCTGTTGTAAAGGACTCTACAAAGTAACATACACCTTTGTTTACGTTTGTGTGTTGCTCGGCAACCACTTTGTTACAACCACAACTGTTTCTGAGGAGCTACATTGTTTGGTGGAAGAATATTGTTTTTATTAATATCATTACACTTTATTTGCTCAGTTTTATTTTGTGAAACCTAACTACGTATATGGAATAACCGTTTTATAAAAGCAATAAGCCCCGTGAAGCCGTGGTTTACAGTGAATTTATAACAGCTCCGCGTCGTGCCTAACAACGCCCCTTAGCTGTTATAAACCACGGCTTCTTGGGGCTTATTGCTTTAATTTCAGATGATGCATAAATCTAAATTTTAAAAAAATGACCCGTATGACTGGTTTTGTGCTGCAGGGTCACAACACAGGGATGTTTCCAGGCTGGTAAAGCAGCAGCGGGTGTTTTGCGGTCAGCTGCTGTTGGTGATGATGACCGATGTTGCGTTGTGCGCGGCACTGGTCTGAAAGTGCATGTGTGCGTTCACGTCATAACGGGACAGTCTGTCCGAGCCGGGACTGCTCAGACCGGACAGCGAGGCTGGACTCCCGTCTCTGTCGTCTCGGTGCAGGACGAGACGGGGCGGTCCTCGGCAAACAGAGGAGAAGACATCGCTCATGCAGCCGTCCTCCACCTTAATCTGCTCCTGTCTGGCACCCATCCGGCTCTGGGACGCCTGGATTTCATAGCAACTGTCTCCCGAGTCGCCCGAGTCGCCTGGAGATCCGTCTGCACGCTCCCCGTCCCAATGAGCTGCCGAAGAGATTTCATGAAACCGTGACATTTTTTGTGAGCTGAAGCTCCCTGAGGACCGATTATGAACTTCTGTTTGTGTGTGTATATAAACATGTTCAGTTGTAGATATTTTTATTATAAAACAGATAGTTCCGGTGCTTGATTCTGATTGGCTGAGCTGCGTTCGAAGCTGTTGTAAATGACTCTACAAAGTAACATACACCTTTGTTTACGTTTGTCTGTTGCTCGGCAACCACTTTGTAGCAACCACAACTGATTCTGAGGAACTACATTGTTTGGTGGAAGAATACTGTTTTTATTAATATCTTTACACTTTATTTGCTCTGTTTTATTTTGTGAAACCTAACTACGTATATGTGAATAACCTAACAACGCCCCTTAGCTGTTATAAATTCACTGTAAACCACGGCTTCACGGGGCTTATTGCTTTATTGCTTATCAAGTCAGATTTTAAAGGTGCATTACAATTTAAAGTTGTGAATAAAAGAATGGTATGTTTGAAAAACATAAATATGAACACTTATGTACTTTATCTAGTATCTAGTAGCCTAAATGACATCAGCCACAAAACTATTTAATCACTTTCATTTTTAAAAACAAAGCAACAAAGCTGTTTTGGTAAACGAGAAGAATGAGAATGTATTGAAGAAAGCACCAGTAAGAAATTTAGTTTTTGTGGTTTGTTTTTAAAAACAAAAAACAAAAAGAATACTTTTATTCATCAGGGACGCATTAAAATGATCAAAAGTGACAGTGAATACATTTATAATGTTACAAAAGATTTCTATTTCAAATAAATGCTGTTCTTTTGAACTTTCTATTCATCTGTGAATCCTGAAAAATAAATTGATTATATTATTATAGTTCACTAAAACAAAAAAAAAGGTCATTATTTGAAATAAAATAAACATTATATATATATACTGTATATAAACTCATAAATTAATGAATAAATTATTTAATATTATTTTAGAAATTATTTAAATTAGTATTTAAATTAGTTTATTACACTTAAATAATTACTGAAAATATAAAAATAAAAACTGGTTCAAAATAGTAATAAAAGCAAACTGTTTTTATTAATATCATTACACTTTATTTGCTCTGTTTTATTTTGTGAAACCTAACTACGTATATGTGAATAACCTAACAACGCCCCTTAGCTGTTATAAATTCACTGTAAACCACGGCTTCACGGGGCTTATTGCTTTATTGCTTATCAAGTCAGATTTTAAAGGTGCATTACAATTTAAAGTTGTGAATAAAAGAATGGTATGTTTGAAAAACATAAATATGAACACTTATGTACTTTATCTAGTATCTAGTAGCCTAAATGACATCAGCCACAAAACTATTTAATCACTTTCATTTTTAAAAACAAAGCAACAAAGCTGTTTTGGTAAACGAGAAGAATGAGAATGTATTGAAGAAAGCACCAGTAAGAAATTTAGTTTTTGTGGTTTGTTTTTAAAAACAAAAAACAAAAAGAATACTTTTATTCATCAGGGACGCATTAAAATGATCAAAAGTGACAGTGAATACATTTATAATGTTACAAAAGATTTCTATTTCAAATAAATGCTGTTCTTTTGAACTTTCTATTCATCTGTGAATCCTGAAAAATAAATTGATTATATTATTATAGTTCACTAAAACAAAAAAAAAGGTCATTATTTGAAATAAAATAAACATTATATATATATACTGTATATAAACTCATAAATTAATGAATAAATTATTTAATATTATTTTAGAAATTATTTAAATTAGTATTTAAATTAGTTTATTACACTTAAATAATTACTGAAAATATAAAAATAAAAACTGGTTCAAAATAGTAATAAAAGCAAATCAGCATATTAGAATGATTTCTGAAGATCATGTGACACTGAAGACTGGAGTAATGATGCTGAAAATACAGCTGCGCATCACAGAAATACATTACAGTTTAACACATATTCACATAGAAAACAGCTGTTTTAACAAAGAAACATTAACAAATCTAAATTATTCCAAGTTTCCAATCCTCAGTTTCCACAGAAATACACACTGTTTTCAGCGTTGATGATAATCAGAAATGTTTCTTGAGCAGCAATGATTTCTGAAGGATCATGTGACTCACCGTGAGTTTGATGGTTGTGTTGAGTTGCTTTAGTGGCATCCCACCATCCCTCTCTGCCGCTGACGCTCTGATCGCACAGCTGTGTGTGTGAAGCGTGTGTGTGTGTGTGTGTCTGAGCACACGTGTCCAGTCGCTGCGGGGAGGCGGAGTCTGTCACAGGGCTGCCGTCCCATTGGCTGTCGCAGTCGGAATCTGAGCGCTCGTTCTGGAAGAACGAAAACTGCTGAAAAAAACAGAACAGGAAGTGAGGAGAGAACCCTTTGAAAACACACTCAGGAAAAATATTCAAAAAATGTATTCATTCTTCTTTTTTTTTTCTTAAGTTGATCTCAAAAGTTAAAGGTGAAAACGTTCATTGAAAGTGGACAGTTGACATCATGTGTAATTTTACTTCTCATTATTTTTTTTCTGTAATATTTATTTATAGTATCTCTTAGAATGATTTATTTTCATTATTTGGCTGGACTCCAAAATCACACATTTTGTCTTTTAAAAAAATAAAGCGATTTATTGAAGTTGTCGTAGCTTTTTAGGAATTTCAATTAAACATTAAAATTGTCATAAAATGTGAAATATTGTAAATGTGCATAAAAAATTATAAGATTTTTTTTTTCTCATTTTCATTTAGTTTAACTTAATGTAACTTAAAATAATAATAATAACATAAAAACAAACTTATTTTATTTCAGTTAGTTTCCAAGGCAACAATTCTCATTTTCATTCAGCTGAACTTAAAAAATGAAAAAAACTGAAACTGAAATAAAAACTAATAAATATTTAGACTTATTTAAAAACAACAAAAACCAAAAAAAAAAAGACAAAAACACACAATAAAATTACTGAAACACTAACAAAAATGAACATGAGCGCAGAAAATATAAAATTAATATCTAATTTAAAATATTAACAAAAACAAGGACACATTTTGTCAAAAGTAACAATAAAGACATTAAGTACATTAGTTAATATGAACTTAAATAGAACAGTTATTTTGAACTGTAATAATAATATTTCATAATATTGATGTTTACTGTATTTTTAAGCAAATAAATGCAGTCTTGGTGAGCAAAATTTGAACAATAGTGTGCATAAATAAATAAACAAACACATACAAATGAACCAGCGATGATAATATAGTGAGTGAAAATTGTGACTAAAAATGAATATATTTAACATCCAAAATATGCATTTTATACATTATGCATTTTTAAGTTTGAGAGCGTCTGTGACCGAGCGTGAAGATATTAATTGTATTGATTTATTTAGCTTGACACCTGAGAGAACGGAGCAGCCAGGATCTTCGCTGGGGGTTTGTCCTGATGGTTTGCGTAAGGGAACGCAGGTTTGCTGGGCTTCAGCTGCTCCAGAGACAGCGCCAGGCCTTTATACTCCGTGTCCCTAAACACACACATTATTACAGTCCATATGCTGCATGAGCATGACACTCACTGCTGGAGCGCACCTAAAAATGAGTCAAAAATCCATCGTTTTTAGTACGGGGGGAAAAAAAACTTTTGCATATCATATTAATAAAAAAAAAACAATTGTAACACTTTTAACACCTTTAACACCTTTCCTTCCGCATCTGTTTAAAAATTCTAAAAAATTTATCAATTTTAGTGCAGGAAAAAAACTCAAAATACACATCATATATATATATATACACTGGCGTTCAAAAGTTTGGGATCAGTAAGACTGTATGTTTTTTAAAGCTCAGCAAGGCTGCATTTGATCAAAAATACAGAAAAAAACAGTAATGTTATTACAATATAAAATAATGGTTTCTATTTGAATATCCTTTAAAATATAATTTATTTCTGTGATGCAGTGCTGAATTACTCCAGTATAAAGTGATCCTTCAGAAATCATTCTAATATGCTTAATTAATTAGTTATGAAAAAATAACACAATTAAAATATTTTAACGCAGTTAACGCACTGGCTCCGCCCCCAGACTGTTGATAAATATGATGCATGGCAACAAATTCATAAATGCAGTTATGCCCTAAAATTCAAGATATTTATATATGTTTTTGTCTCATATTTATATGTTTATTGTCCTGAAAAGCACGAGTGCAGATGTGATTTTATACAACAGTTCAGCAAATAAGAAGTTAATATTGTGTTATATTTTAAACACAATATTGTGTGTTTTTGCTCAGTTTTGCTAACTTCTGTAAAATACATTCAGCCTCGTATCTCACACACTTTTAGCACTGAATTTTGTGGGTAAATTTGCAGACTCATCAGATAGAGTATGGTTTCAGTTGACAAATATGAAGTTATGACTGTTTCAGCTGTGAGTGTGTAAGGTGTTTTCTTAAAGCGACAGGAGGGTTAATCAGTTAAACTGAGTCCTGTGCAGTGTTGGGGAGTAACTAGTTACATGTAACGGCGTTACGTAATTTAATTACAAAATAAATGTAACTGTAATCAGTTACAGTTACTAAGAAAAAATGTGTAATTAAATTACAGTTACTTATGAAAATGTTAACGATTACAAAGGGGATTACATTTGAATATTTACACATCCCAAACTTTTGAGCGCTAGTGTATATAAATGCGCTCGTTGCTGGATCGTGTGGCGTGTTGGAGAGGGAGATGTTGGTGGACTCACGTGAGGACGTAGTTGACGCTGACGATGCAGTGCGGACGAGACGAGCGGATGTTGTGAACGATGGTGGCGTAACTCTGCACCCAAACCCAGCCGCCGTGTTTGGACAGGAAGCGGTAATATTTAGTGGTCACCTGACCTTTGACCAGCACTGCAGAGACAGAGACACGTATTAAACATCAAACAGATTCTAATGAACTCATATTAAATATATGAAACGTTTGTAAGGGCCAGAAAGGGTGGAACATAAAAAAATGTAATTATGACTGTTTGTGGCACCAAAAGAAAAAAAATTTTTTGACACAAAATTAGACAAAAAAAAAAGATACAAAGTGTGTGTGTGTGTGTGTGTGTGTGTTTGAGTGTGTGATAATAAGTACACACACACACACACACTCAAACACACACTCAAACACACACACACACACACACACACTCTCGCACACACATTTTGTATCTTTTTACTTAATCAAAATAACCCAACTGCAGTTTGATTGAGATTAATTAGAATGCACAATGAAAACAATCTGTACAATCCGTGTCGTTCTGCCTGAGCTTGGGCCAAGCACATATTTGTTCATGTGAAGAGTGTGATTTTTATTTTTTTTTGCGGAAAGCGCGTTAAGTACAAAAGCATGGTTTACATACGAAATAATAGTTTAGCATTCAAATACATC